TTTTTTTAATCTTTAATTTCTTTATTGGTTAAGGTATTACAAATGTGTCCTCATCTCCCCATTACCCCCCACCCCCCCCCCGCCACTCATGCTCTCATCCCCCTGTTGTCTGTGTCCATTGGTTTGGCTTATATGCATGCATACAAGTCCTTTAGTTGATCTCTTCCCCTTACCCCCCATAATGCCTCTTATTTTATATGTTCTAACAGCAACTTGGCCTCATCATTGGTTCTAAGACTGGAAACAAGTGAATGTCTATTAATTTGCATTTATTAGGAAGCAGATCTTTAGTGGGCCCTGGGCAGGGGTAAAACACTCTCATGAGGACAGAACATTTTGAAGACTCTTCCCATGTACCTTCAACACAACGAGAGAAAGCACACTCAGTGTCTTCCCAAGCCAGCCTTACTGCCTCACTCAGAAGCTTTCTCTTCTCATATCTGAAGCAGATTTCAGGGGTTTACTTCTTCAGAAAGATTAATAATATATCAGGAACATAAAGGCAACAGGAGCATAAACTTAATGGTAAACATATAATCAATGTTTCATAATGTTTTCAGAATAGGAGGATATATAAGGTTTGCTCTCTATAATTTCTTTCCCAGGCCTCATAAATAAACAATGACTCTTTTCCCCCATGTTCAAATGATTTATAGGCAGATCTTTAAGTGCTTCCATTCATTACTAATGCATTGCATAATGCACTGTAATAATTGAATATAGCTTGAGTATAATCGTTTACCATGTTAATAAAGCATCAATACTATTTAAAGCAACAACCCTTTCATTTTACACAAACAATCTCTGGGTAAGAAACAGGAAGAAGTAAGCATGATATGTCCAAAATTCAGAGACCTCGGAAATCCCCATTAGTCACAGGGGAGCCAGCAGAAAATGATGATGTCCCGAGAGGCAAATTTTCAAAGCCCGGGGACAACCACGCCCCATATCCTCCTGTGGCAGCAGGAATCATCTTTATGTTCCCATGGAAAGATCTAGAATCATCCACACAGCCACGGTGCAAAACCTTCCTGGGGAAGGACCGCAGAGGCCATAATTCCAAGCCCCACACACTCACCTATTGTGCGATCTTAGGGGAAACGAGGAGCTCTTCTCCGAGAATAGAATTAACCCTTGCCGTTTAATATTTCATGCCATCCTGGCAGCTCCCTAACAAGAACAAATGGCTACAGCTCAAATGAGGCTTGTTTATCCTGAGTAGGATTTAACGATGAGGACGGCCGAGCAGTGCGTGTCGTGAAACATATTACACCTGCGGTTGTTAGTGCAGTACCGCTGTATTTGCCATGCACTGGGGAAAATTAGTGCCCATACTTTCTGGGTTTTGACACACAGGAAGAACAGCTATTGTCCCAGCTGAAAATTGAACATAATTAAACAGGAAAAAAATAACTTTATTTATTTATTTATTTATGTATGTATGTATTTATTTATTTATTTATTGTTGCTAGAGGGCAGGGTCTGGTAGGAGGGGGGAAAATGAATTATTTTAGAGATAATGTGCTTTTCTATTTAAGATAGGATGGCTAGTTGCCTGGGTTTTCATTTCTGAGTCTTGCTTCCTTCGTTCTTCTCCACCAAAAGAACATCTGTTTTATGAGTTAGGCTTTGCCAGCCCTTCCTCCTCATTTTTCAGATGACGAACTCACTCTGCATTGTGATTTATGAACCTCAGAGTTCCCACGGCGAGCCTGGCTGGCTGGAGAACTCAGCACTTCTGTTTCAATTGGCAAAACTTCTTCAAGGCATGCAAGCCTCTGGATAAAGCACATTGAAGTGGTCTCCAATTGGATGGAAAATAGGGCAGAAAGGGTAATGCTCCCTGAAAGATGTGAATTGTGCCACAAATGTCTAACTGACCATCAAAGATTGTTTTTTTCCCTTGCACAGTGTAGATTTACTGCTGGGAAGTATCCACCCATCCAAAGATTACATATCCCAGCATCCCTTGCATCTGGGTGGGGTCATGTGACTTTTTCTCACCAATTGAATGTGAGTAAAAGTGATGTGCATCTTCACCAATACAAAGTAAGTAAGAAGCAGGTGTGCCTTATCCACCCTCTTTTGTCCCATCAGCCAACAGAAGAGAGAGGACTCTGAGGCCAAAGAAGAGGGCAGAGCTACAAGATAGAAGGAGCCTGGGTCTTTGAGTGGCTTCACAGAATGCTGTCCATTTACAAAGGTCTTTTCGTGAGCAAGGAATACATTTCTAGTGGGTAAACTCATTGAGGTGTCAGGAAATTTTGGTTATAGCAGTTAATCAAAGCACACAAATCAAAGCACTTCGGTAGAAAGGAGGTGAAAACTGGAAAGCATGATAATGATCCTGCTTAGGCCATAGTAATTCAGGACAAACCTGCATGGGTTTTGTTTGTTTTTTCACTTTTCAAATCACCATCTTCTTTATCCTTCTGTTCTCAGAATGCTGTTTCATCATTTCTAACATATTCTTTTTATAGCTAATCATGTTCCTGTCACCTCATCTTCTGCTATCTTCATTAGTGCCTTCTAAATCCCAGCTGAACTACGTGATCCTTCACCTACATTGTTATCCTGATTATCCTCTAGCTCTCAGTTCAATATCACTTCTTCCAGGAACCCTTTCCTGACCACCCTGAAAAAGTCAGATTCCATCATTATTAGCTTTCATAACCTGGGTTTTCCTAGCTAGCACTTAACACAAAAACAATTTTATTTTTATGTGTATGATTATTTGATTAATTCTCATCTCCCCAACTAGACTTGAAATGAAGGCAGAACTGTGTCTAGGTTTGGCTCACCATTTTATTACCAATGCCTGACATATATTTAGCACTCAATAAATACTAGCAAGTGGATAAATCATACTAAAAATGATGAAATGCTTACTATATCCCAAGTACTTTACATTTTCTCATTTAATCTCTCCTCAAACCCTGAAAGGTAAGTATTAACATCCCCACTTTATATACAAAGAAA